GATGAGACAATCGCTTGAATACACAGTCTTGAGGGCAGATGTAATGCAATACTCAATGCAAAGCATTTGCGCATAAATTCAATGCAAAAAAGGCTCACATTTTGGACACAAATGACGTGAAGAATGAGTGAATGGATTGAGTGCTGAACACGTGTAGTGATTGTGTGATTCACTCCACTCACAGTCGATGTCAACAAAAACAGTATTGTTTTGACATTTGGTTTCATTCCTCTTACAAATCAGTGGAGAAAAGCATTGATTGTGATAATAATGGCCGACGAGAAGACTAAGAAGACTTTGAGTTCTATACCACTCATGAAGACTAAGTCCGGTCCGCGAGATAAGGACTTATGGCCACAAAGACTCAAAGAGGAGTACCAGTCGTTGATTCAGGTTTGGGATTCATTTGTTTTGTCAATTGATTGAAATACTAACCATTGAATGGATGTGTGGTCCCATTGATTGGACAGTATGTGCAGCAAAACAAGGATAACGACAACGATTGGTTCCGATTGGAGTCCAACAAAGACGGCACCAAATGGTTTGGCAAGTGTTGGTTCATTCATGAGCTCATCAAATATGAGTTCGACATTGAGTTCGATGTAAACAATGCAAACATTATCTTGTCTTTCATTGTATGGGCTTTTGTAGACCTCAACCAACTTTGCCCTTACAGTGAGACACGAGTTATACTTCTTTAACCATTAATACTAAATCTATACTTAGATTCCGGTCACGTATCCGACGACAGCCCCTGAGATAGCGATTCCCGAATTGGACGGCAAGACAGCGAAGATGTATAGGGGAGGGAAGATCTGTACGAGCGATCACTTTAAGCCTCTGTGGGCCAGAAATGTGCCCAAATTCGGTATCTCTCACGCCATGGCTTTGGGGGTAAATCTACTGATTGATTTGAAATGATATGAATAACACTATTAATGAACTAAATATATGTACAGTTGGGTCCGTGGCTGGCGGTGGAAGTGCCGGATCTCATCATCAAAGGTTTGGTCAAAGAGAAACAGCATCAATGACTTCCATAATTAGCACAAAGATTTATATATTTGTTTGGTTTTTAAATAAATGTGTTTTTTGTTACGATTTATTTGTTACATAATTGTATGCACTTTTCAGATATGTTATTGATTTTTGTCGGCCCAACAGTTCTATGGTTTCGCCAATCGGTGAACCACTCTATTAAGTGATTCAAATAAAAATCAATATATTTTTTAATGATTTTGTAAGTCATCTGAAATACCTCTAAATTAGTCAAAGAATATCTCAAAAGTTTCATAAACTTTTTGAAAGTCATGAGATCTGAATGTTTATCATCGAAATGATTGCGAATCACTTGATAAATGCCTTTAGCGTTGAATTGCACCTCGCTCATTGTGTCAAACACGTCAATCATTGATTTCAATATTATTTCTATAGAGAAAGCGTTGATTTAATTAATTGCAAATAATATAATTAGTCATTCGAACCGATGTCCTCTTTATTGCCGATATCATTGACTTTCCACTTGAAATCCGGAACTTTCCATAAATATAAGAATTCTTCGCTCAAAAGATCTTTTAAAGTATAGACTCT